CTGCAGAAAGTTGGCCAGGAACCCATTGCCCTGCAAATCAAATTTGTGCAACTGGTAGCCTGATTGCCCTTCTCGCAAGCCAAACAAATGACCACCGCTGTTGCCTCCTCTGCCAGTGTCACAGGCCTCCAGAAAGGTGGGTTGCCATCTATGACGGCACAGCTCATTCTGCACCCCTTCCAGCTTTCCATGGTTCAGGTGCGTCTCCACCATCATGACTACTGAATGAGGTTGTTGAATCATCCATTCTTTGGAGTCCTTGGTCCATTGGGTGATGTTGGCATAGAGAATCTCAATCTCTTGGTTTGGATGCCTGGCTCTCTTGGCAGGCTGCTCAAACTGCCCAATGGTTGTGGTCCAAAAGTTAGATTGCTCAGCCCTCGAGGCCCAGATCATGACAGCATCTCGTTTGATGTGTTCCGGAACCTCTTTGCAGACTTCAGGGCATTTCCCATCATCAGCAATCCAGACAGCCTCTCCTTCCACCAGCATGGTGACGTAATGTCCACTGATCATCTCAGGCCCTTGATGGCCAATGATGCCTCTGAGGACGAATGTGGACTGCCCCGTGTGCCCTCACTCCATTCGTTGCGGGCATTTGAAGGTTGAGGGTGTGTGCAACTCCATGCTTGACCCAACTCTTCGTCTGTGTGCAAAGGGAGTACCTGCCCACATGAAAGACGATGTGCTCAACATCCTCGCCCAAGCATTGTCCATTGCCTTCATTGGCCCATTCCTGCAGCAGCTGTTCAAAGTGAACTGTCTCTCCCAGTTCCACCGGCATGCGGATGAACAAGGGGATGGTGTCGTACTCATGCCATCTGCCCCCAAAATGGGCATGCCAGTTTCCTTGCAAACCAGTTTGGCCCCACAGCTCCCACAAATGAATCAAGAACTCCGAAGCATCATGCTGGTTCTGTGGGTTCTCTAATCTCGCTATGGCTGGTTGCAACTCTGAGGCCCAGAAGATGTCCGGGATGTCATCCTGCTGAAGGATTTGCATGCACAGCTTTGTGGACGGCCCCCAGAACTCCGCTGGGTTGGTATGATGAGCACCCATCCAGCACCACATGCGGAGGACCGCATTGGCAAAGCACCTGTTGCCTTTATTGTGGATGTTCAAGGTGAGGTTGGCTGCCAATAGTTCGGCCATGGGCGGAATCTCAGGAACCGCCTCCACCGGCCGGCACAAGAACAGGTTGCTCTGCAAAGCTAGCCTCATCTTCAAGACATGTTTCAAAGCCTCTAGTCCCCAGACTCTGGTTTCCACCATGCCAAAGTGGACATCCTCTCGGCACTCTACCGGTAGGGCTTCGATCGCTTCTCGTGCTCTCTCTTGCAGCACCATTAAACGATTTTGCAGCCTCCCTGGGCTGGTGTAGTCTTCATGATCAGGATCGTCAGCCCATACATCATCCTTTCTGCCTCTTTTGCCCCCTCCAAGGAGCAGGCTCTTTTGGTTAGCTGCCCTTTCTTGTAGCACGGGATGTTTGGCTGAACCATCCGGGGTCCCGCATGAAGCAGGTCTGGGAGATCCCAGCCGCTCTGGACTCCGCAAGGGCAGTGCCCCAGACGATCCAGCCCCATCCGTATGGGCAGGTTCTACAATTTTCTTCTGCAGCACAGCCGTGCTATCCCATGATCTCTTTTGTTCACAGGCAACGAGCTGGGGCGCACTGTCAACATCTTCTGCGTGCTTGTCCTCAAGAACGGCAGATATATTTAATATATCTGTTTTTAAGCCTCTGTGGTGCCGAAAGTGCGGCCCAGACCGGGCTGCATCGTCAACATCTTCTGCACCTATGCTCTTGACTGCTGAGCCATGCTTCTTCTTACGGGCCAAATGAGCCCCCGGAGTCGACATCACCCGAGGCTCTACAGCTGATGAAAGACCAACATCAACACCCAAGTCAATGCCAAAAGTGCCTGATTCATGCACTGACATAAATGGTGTGTCATGGTACCCCTCGACGTTCACATGGCTGCATTCCTTGATGACAAAATTGCACAAATTCATCCACAACGTTGCAATCAACTCCTGTCCAAGACTCTGCACTCACATCTGCACCCGGCATTCCCCAAGCTGTGTGAGATGGTGCTCCCTGATGCCAAACACTCAAACAGTCCCAAACCTTTGAGTAATCCCCTGGGCTTGCGGTGCCAAGCCCTGCCATGCTATTCTCATTCCTCCAGGACCCCATCACTGCAGGAAAAACCCCATTTGCATCTTCTTTTCCAACACAAGGAGTCCGTCTGATGTTACCCACTCAACTGGGCTTCACCATCAGTCTTGCGGCGCTTGGCCAGGGTTTCAGCCAAATTGCGCTCCAATTCCTTTTGCTGGTCAGAATTGAAAAGGATACCAGCCTGTCCCAAAGCCTTCAATACATGCTCCGTGGCATCTGTATCCAGGACATGTTCATCGGGCGGTGAAAAGGGCACAGCTTCCTCCTTCAGCTGCTTTGCATATGCCTCGGACTGATCACCCAACTGCTTGTGCTCCTTGTCAATGGCTTCTTGCACCCCTTTGAGTTCCTCAAGTAGCAACTTGTAGTGGTCCTTGGCCATATCCACTTTCCGCTGCAAAGATTGCTTCTTGGTTGCCAACTGTCGCAACTCACCCACCGTGGCTTTGAGCTGCCCCGTGACATCAATGGTGGCTGAGGGAGCTGGCTTCATCAGTCCAACCACAGCCTCCTTCACTTCCTTGGGAAGTGAATCAAGATGGGCCTTCAAGATCTCCTCCAGGGGCGGGCACTCAGGTTCTGGGGTGAAGTCAATACCCATGCTCTTCAGAGCCGCCTGAGCTTCCGGCGGCATTGTCCCCCATGCCTTCTTCAGGGTGGATTCGATGGCATTGGGTACTTGCTTGGTCTTTGCTCCAAGGCCTGGCGGTGGATCCACCTGAGGCCGCACACGTCCTCGTGGCTTCCGCACCTTCTTAACGGGGGAGGTACTCTTCCAGTCACTGTCAGCACCAGGCCATGGAGTGCCACATTTGTTACATCCCCATCTCTGGGCATTGATGCGATCTGCCCAGATCCAGGATGAGCTGCAGCCCGTACATGCCACATAGCGCCTCCTCGTTCTCACCTTCTCAAAGTCCTGGAAATAGCCCCCCATCATTCCAAGGAACAAACTCGGTGAGGTTCACTTCAATCTCAATTACGAGCAAGGGCAAGGCCACCGAACTGGTAGGATGTACCAAAGGCGCCTTCAAGCAAGTAGACCAATGCCCTTGATCTCGTCAGTGCCCTTGAGCCAGCTTGAGCCAAGAGCTTGAGCCAACACCCAAACAGTCACATGGTCTCTCTCTCTCTCTCTCTCTTCCAACTATCTATCGAGTCTTTGTAACACCCAAAGCCGCAAAGCCTGTAAATGCACAGCAGTTGCTTTTCCTACATGGAGTCGTCTTAGTATTCCATCTGGTCACGGCTTCAGTCTTCAAACGGTGACAGCAGGATGATATTCTGTGCGGATGGCCCGGATGGGCTTTCTCCTAACCTTTCCCGCAGTGCATGTTTGCTCCATATAGAAACTCGTATGACTTCCAGCGTAGAGGACAACCATCTTCCAAACACATTTCATAAGCCGTTCGTATCTCATATCATAAAATTTGTAACATCTATATATTACAATATCATATTCATAACTTATAATATCTATTTCGTGTATATACTATATTCATTTACGTCATCTACATTCTATATTCTATCCTGCAACTTAAGCTGCTGGAAGTCTTTCATAAATACATCTTCCCGTGGTTCTATCATCTCCTTGCCCAATTGACCCACAAACCATCCCCCTTGCATGCTTCAGAACAGCCCAGCGCTGGGGCATCTGACGACGTAGTGCTTGCAAAATGTTTGATAGATTGGCTGAAGCCTCTTTCCTTTGAACCTAGTAGCAAGGACGCTAGTAGGGGCTCCTGGCCTTACTACTAGGAGCAAGAAGCTACTAGGAACCCGGGCACCGCTACTAGGAGCAAGGACGCTAGTAAAATGGCTCTTTTGAGGAGAGACCCGAAGGTCTCGCCTATTTGCATTGTTCGGAGGAATGGCCCAAAGAGATCTCTTCCGCCTCAACAATTGCATACCTTTGGGTCTGTCGATCATGCCACGTTATCCACATCATTTCATCCCAGCTGATCCTCGCTGACCCTTGGAACTTCCATCTCAAAACTTCGGCCCTGCCTTGGAGGCACCGAGCACCCACACTGGCGCCTTTACCCCCTACAACCCCCTACCACCTACATGGAGTCTTCTCACCCATCCACAGTGACCCACAGTCTCCGGACAACGTCCACGGCTCCAGGTCGTCTCGAGGACCTCTTTTCGCAAGGCCTCCCGCTCGGCGATGAACCGCCCCGTCTCCACGTAGTCCTCCATGAAGCCTCTGGCCCAAACACTCCATGGGACTGCCATATATGCCGACATTGAGCCCCAAAACCACCCCAATTGATCGGCATATATGGCAGTCCCATGGAGTGTTTGGGAGGGGTTCACGAAGGCGAGATCCCGTGGTTGGTCGCCGGTTGGTCAACAGCATGGTCCGCGTGAACCGCGTGGGCTCCGGATGAATCTCTTTAGAGATAAAGAAGCAGGGTCACAAGAAGCAATGTTGGTTCGATCTTCATTCAAGGGTGGTCGAAGTTCCAAAGCACACCCAGTCAAGTGACACTGGATCAGCAGCAAGCAGATCTACTATACCCCGCTGAAGACTCACATGGACCCTCGTTTGTAGAGGAAAACTTGAAGTGTAAAATCTTCAACTGCTGCTCGACACGCCAAGGAATCTGTGGCGATCCGAAGGTGATCTCCCCAATCAATGCGTGTTGATCCGTTTTGCCATGTGCGAAGAGCAGGTTTTGGAACGCCCTCACTTTGAAATACACTTTGGTCTTGTGGCATATGAGTTGATTGAGAATGTGCGTCACTAGGGTGGGCAACTATCGCCAATCTGAGGTAGTTAAGTTGTTTTGGGTCTCTGGATAACGCACCTCATGACTCATGTAGTGAACACCTACCTTTGGTTACAACACATGTGAGCGTGCCATACATGCCATAGGAAGCGACAACACCACCAATCTGCACCCAGCAACCGTTCACAAGCTTCACCAAACTTTCAGTGCCTTTCTCTTTGGACATCTCCTTGGCCGAAAGCCATCTGCCTGGACCATCCTTCTCTGTCTCTCCATTGGACCCCTCCTGGATGGTGTCAGGTGAGTAGGGAACCACCCGCAAAACATCGTTTTCCTCGGGGTACCACTGGCAAGCTGGGTCTCATGTCTGGATCTCGTGTTCGAACTTGACGGTAGCAGGAATGGACACAGAATTTGATTTTGGGTACTTGTACCGTGCCTTTCCAAAATCCTCGCCAAGTGTGGCAAACTCTGAGTCTGGTAGTCCAGGAATGTCCAGGGGTGTCTCATTGGCTGGGGCTGTAGAAATCAACAAATTGTGATGTCAAATGTCAAATGTACTGCTAAATGTATATATATATTACATAATTACTATAATATTTATTTATATATTTCAACATATGCCTTGAAGCATCCTGGTCCACCCACAGGACCTCTTTTTTGAAACTGACTTGTATGAGTTTCAAGATGTTGCAAGTAGTTTCAGGGTCATTCGGCTCTCTTTAACAGTGAGACTTTGCCGCCCTTGCGCCACAGTTCCACTTAAGACCAGAATATCGATCCAAGTATGTATCGCACTGGGGAGGGTTTGTTGCCCATGAGCTTCAGCAGGAACATCAATCGTTGCCCCGTCTGATCCATCACCAGCTCACCGCCCAGCAGCTTGTGCGATCTCTTTGGCCTTCTGGCGGATCTCTGCAGATTCCAAACACTGCTTGATGGCCGCTGCCAGGTCATCCGGGGTCAAGGTCCTGGGAGGCGCTCAAAGTAGTTTTCACAGCAGTCAGCAGATACGAAAAATCACGCATGACGGGGTCGACAAAATTTTCCTGATGTTTTTTGAGTCCACATATGTGCACATGAGTTTTTGTTTCCGCATGTCATTTGGGGCCATTGGGTTCATTTCCGTTCGTATACAAGCCTGCCCCGCTAGTTGAATACCACTTTTCCCTGCTTCTTTCACCCCCCAAACTGTGGGTGGATCCACAACTGGTTTTACTTGCTCGCTCACTGGTTCCAACGTATCTATCCATCAATGTCTCCCACTGTCGAACCAATTCCCCCGGGGTGGCCAACACAATCTGAGCCTTCCCAGTGAACCATCAGCAATCGCTTGATGACCTCCTGATTGATTTGGGGAAGATCGAGCAAATGGTTTCTGTATACAAGGAGTGTAAGGTTCACCAAGTCTCAGCTTCCTTCCCGTATATATCTGAGATAGCGTCCTTTATGCAAGGAGTGTCAGGTTCACCAAGTCTCAGCTTGCTTCCCGTATATATCTGAGATAGCGTCCTTTCAGCTTCGGGAATGCACATGTTTAATATCTCCTTTGGTAAATGCCGCTAGCATTGATCCTCGCCCGCACCGTTGGCTGGGGCTTTCATGGCTGGTGTGTTTCGGATGGAAAGCATCACATCCTCCAACCCTCCCATCAGCCACTCCCTCATTCGGATCCAAAGGTCTTCATCGCCTTCAAACCTACGCCGAAGCCCTTGGCATTCACCAAATCCGAATGGTAGTACTGGTCCAGAAAGATTGGCACGATCACCTCCGCCGGACGCGGAATCGGCATTGGCCGGACCCCTCCGGAACTCGCATTTATGCTCGGCCTGTGTGCCATGTGGCCGGTGTTGAGGTGGGTCCTTGTAGAACAAATCAATCAAGTCTTCAGGTGTCACACCCAAACAAAGCGGATTTCAGGGGACGCCCGAGAACATGAACTGCGGGTGGTCGTTTTTCAACGCAGCGAATGTGCAAAGGGAAATGAGCAGAATCTGCTTGTGGTCCATTCACTTCTGCTTTTTGGACAAAGATTCAGTTCCATGACACCTGCAAGATGAGGATGAGCATCTCTGGTTCCAGCAACTGCACTGGAAAATGTCCAGACCTCTTTCCACCCCTGATAGAGCCTTTAGGTATCTTTGGTCATACTCTTTGAGCATCTGAGTCGTTAGATCTTTGAGGTTCATCCTCTAGGGCCACCGACTGGAAACAGGTGTCCACCACAGTTGCTAGACCTGGGGCGGTGATTCCGTCGCTTGTCCACGCCATGGCACTGTGGGGATGCCACTGGCAGCAGAGGCATTCAGCGTCCCAGCACCCCCATGGTGCACCAGGACGCCACAGCGAGGGAAGAGCGCCGCATGAGGCGCAGTATCCATGAGGAGCACCTTCTCCTGGCCTTGGGGGATGGATGCCGATGTGGGGTCTTGAATAATTGTTGAAGATTGTTGAACATTGAGCCCTTGGATCTGAACTTCTCAACAGGCCACCAAAAGTAATACGCACTGTGATTTTGCAACACAAGGAGGGAAGGAAGACTTGCCCCAAATCCGTGGCCACTGCTGGCTTTGTGCCATTCCCTTGCTCCTGTCAAAGCTCCTGCCCAGGTGCAGTATGACTTTAGCTCTGCAGAATCTGGCTCCCCTTCTAGAGCCTCCAAAGACAGCTCGGCCCAGCCGCGCAACATCACGGCACGCTGGCCAGTCTTCATCAATGCCCGGATGCCTACAAGTTGGCCCAAAAATTCTACAATGACAACAACTGCAAAGGCACAGGGTTTGACCATGTTTATTTACGCGTGGATCAATCGATCAGGCCGTCGCTGAGCCCTGGGCAAAGGCCGTCGCTAACCCACTCTCGGTGCGGTGTGGATCAGGCGGACTATAAGGTTTGCAGCGACCCCGCAAAAAGTGAAGTTTCTATACTAGTAGCGTTCGGACGCTACGCACGGTGGAGGCCGCTATTATTAGGTTGGAGGCTGCTACGAACGTAACAAGAAGCTACTAGTAGTTGAACAAACTACACGCGTTTGGTTCTCCAGTGACTTCTTCGCCGACTTTGCGTCACTCGCCTTCAACGTCACTCAGAGGGGCCAGGCCATACGTGTCAGCAACAAAGGGAGACAAAGTGAACAACCCAAAACTGTTCAGGAATCGTTTCATGACAAGTAACAACTAGTGTAGTCTGCTTGGCCTTCCCTATAGTCCATTTTGTTCATTGCGCGGGGTCAACAAGTTTGCTACCACCCTCCCCCCCTCCCTCTTGGGATTATCATGAGGTTTCCACCTTGCTTGGAGGATGGGACAATGACAAACATTGACATGGCTGGGTGGTTGAAGATGTAAATCACCACGGTGACCCAACAACATCAGACCAGTTCTGGCCTCAAATGTTGACCCAAAATCCAATCCTTTCCGCAACAGCTGTTCTTCTTTCAACCTTCCCCTTCTGGTCATGTTACACATGTTTGTTTTGGTCATGTGCGGACAAAGACTTGTTTGGTCACGGCGTGAAGAAGCTGACAGCGCAGCAAAACCATGCAGAACCAGTGCCTAGTAAGCGCGAGAAGGCGCTGTACACCAAGCTGCTCAAGAGGGTCATAAACTTGGCATTCTGGCAGGTCATGGATCCATAACCTGGATAGACACACCGTTTTCAGGCCATACGGGCTTTCTCGGAACATCTCTGTACAGCTGGAAGTCCTTCAAAACCCTTTCCCAGAAAAGATTGATCTTGTCTAAAAAGGGAATGTTCTGAAGCACGGCCTTTAATGACAGCAGTGCACAGCGGCCCCACATGCTGCATGTGCCAGGACCGCCTCAACCGTTCCAATAATTTCTCTTGTGACGGTCTGTTCAGGGGGGTTAACACTCTTTAGAGCCTCAACGCACCATCACGCCGTCCCAGTGCAGCCGGTCCTGCCCGCTGAGGACAAGAAGCCCATGTAGACGGGAGGGTCACCTGCAGCCAGGAAGGTCTCCATTGCTTGCAAATCGCCGCCAAATTCCTGAGGGTGTAGTGAGCGAGCGATGATGAGCGATGTGAGCTGATTCCCCTAAAGACATGAAACATAATGCTATACATATATATATGTATATATATCCACCGAGAGAGAGAGAGAGAGACGGCATCGCACACCCAAACAAGTTAAACAACGGTAATAAGTGATATCACATGCAATGTAAACACCAGAAAACACGGATTGCATCAACCAGCATATGTTTGTTTTCCTGCAATTGACTGCCTTGTGACACAAAAAACACTATTGGTCTGCATGTTAAAAAGAATGCATTTTGGGTCACCTAGAACCAGCCCGATTAATTTGGCCCAACCCTTCTTATGAAGAGATCTAGTTTGAGGGATCCCTCAGATCAATTGGAGGCAATTATCATTTGGGGAGATACTCATCCCGTGTTTTCCATTAATCACTGGACATCGGATCGTCTTACTCGTAGTAAACCGGCTACGGCGAGCTTTGCTGTGAGACAGTAGCTTCATGTAACTTCAGAAGCTCAAACAGTTGTCAAACAATCTACAGCTGGAACTATTTGAGGTATATAAACGTACAGAAAGGTACTCGTTGCTAGTTTGATCCCAGGCTGGGAAGTTTGCATATGGTGGTATGCTTTGGGGGCATGCATAAATCTGGACACATTCAAGGAATACAAACCCATTTGTGGATGGATCGTTTTAACAGGATGTTAGAGGGCAGAATGTCAAGAGGCCGCTTTAGGCACCCATCCGGCGAAAACTAGTTTAGTATAGTATACTGCACAATAAACTAGGTTGAACTCACCCTACTTGACATGTGTGAGGTTGGTCAGAATTACATGTTTCATAATTTTGTTATTACATGTTATTACTAGTCACAGTCACGGTCTACAGAAACGACGGTTGATTGATGGGGGTTCTATAAACAATCACCCTTCCCAAGTGCCTGTGGCCCTCAGCCGCCCTCTCTCCCCTCCAAGCATCTGCGCCTATTTGGTCTTCACCTTGCACCACCCCACCCCGCGATGCTGGGGACAACCAGTGCACTTTCGCGCGCTGGTTTTCGTGGCTCCTCCGGATCGAACACAGTAATCCAAGGAACATCTTGATAATCCAAATAGAGTGGTCCTAAAGGAAAATAGTCGGGTCTTTGTTCAACAGAAAGTGTTTTCCACCTATATATATATATGTGGATTCTATGCGTGGTGACTCCCGGACTTTTTTGCCATTGGTTTGCATTCTCATTCCTGTCTTACATGTTCCGTACCCAATGCTCCTATACACGCATGGTTGGAGGAGAATGGCCCAGCTACATCACACAAACCAGTCACCATCAAGTCACACACGCACCTGCAAAAAAGAAAAACCTTTAAAAATAACAATACATTGGACCTAGACTCCAAAAGGTTCCAAGACGTTTTTTGTTTGTTTGTATTGTTTTGTCCAAGCCGCATGAGGAAGTCCAACATATTAATATACATTATACATTTGTGGGAAGACGCTCTGTCACACATTCTGTTCTTGTGACGTGTTTTCGTCTCAAAGAAACCAAAGATGTGCTTAGACTTTTCCCTGACAAGTGCCATCATCACGAACCTCTGATCGGGTACAGTTTAAATCTCGAAACTCCAAAGGTATCAGCCATTGGCATCGCAGGACGAATTGCACATCCCATTCATGGCACCCCGGGATGAAGATATAGTCTACCTATAGCCATCCTGGAGTAGATATCATGTGGAACATCCAGAGGTCCAAGAACCACTAGGAATTCTATACTCAGGCTCGGCAAACCAACACCCAGGCTCGGCACGGAAGTACATTGACGCAGAAAACAATCATGCGTGAGGAAGCGCATGCCACATCTAATGGCTCGTGCCTTGAAACGCATCTCCAACCCTTAAACAAGGCTCGAAGCAAAAACACAAACAAATCCGGTTGGCGCCTGATTATATCAGCCTATGTCTACGTCTGTCCTATCATGTCCAATCCCATTACCAGTGACTACCAATCTTCCAATCTTTGTCCGCTCTGGGAATTTGCTGAGACCTCCATCGCCAAGTGGCTCTCTAGGGCAAGGCCGCCGATGCAATGCACGTGCTCGGTGAAGTCGGGTGGCAATGGCCCATGAAGCGCGCGGCTGGCGGCCAAAATGGTCGGGTACTCCGCGTCTGCGCTGCAGATTTGGAAGTACCTTGCCCATTTGACTCGCATATGACCTCCATTGGAGTGGTGGAAGGGGGGGCCAATGGTATGTCTTCCAAGGAGTGTCTAAACTGCTTGGTATATGCCAAATGAATGATCATCGGTGAGTGAAGCAAAGGTGACCTTGGCCGGAGCTCGATCCACCCGCTCGGAGCTCACCTGTTTGATGTCTCAAGGTTGGACCCTCCCAAGCATGAGAAGGCCGACTGGGCAGCAAGATGCCGGAGGAATCGAACGTTGTAACGGACTAACAAGCCGCGTCGACCAAAATGGCAACTGGACTCATCGATGGTCTTCCAAAAATGAAGCTGCTGCCAAAGATGCTCTTCCATCGTCGGTTGGAACTGTTCTTTCTCCTTCCCGAAAAGCTTCAGAAGAATCGGCTCCGAGCTTTTGTTCATCTCCTGCCGGCGTTGACTCGAACTGCAACTTCCTACCAAATAATCAACGCTTCACTCGGAAACGTGGTCCGGCACCTGATGGTCTAAGCCAGCCAGGACGCCTGGACTACCAGGGTAGAGTAGTGCAACCACATTCCAATCCAAAGAGTGTGTGTTTTGTCTTTAAACTTACTCTTAGCTTCACAGGAACGCAACAACGCTGACAACCACCTGAAGGAACGGCAATGGAGTCATGAAAGAACTCTGAACTCTCATTTCAAAACGACACCCTCCATCAATTATATGTTCAAGCCAAACAATTCCGTGTCATCAATGTCAATGTGCATACCTTATGTGGCCCTCCTCGGCAAAGCTTCTACACAAATAGTCCCAAAGGCGCCGGTTCAGCCCGAAGAGGGTCGGCAACTGCCTCGTGGCCGATCGTCATAGTCCCCAAAGGGAGACGGCGATGGAGTCGGCGGACGCGTCCGTGACGTGGACCGCCAGGTCGTTGGTAAGATGGGGAGTGCACGTTGGGGAGTGCACGTTGGTCGGATGTCGGCCACGGCGCGGAAACCAAGTTCTCACCAAGTCTCGCGAAGACAAAGGCGGCTGGAGGCAAACCACGCGTTTTTCCCCATGTTGGGGTGCGACAATCCGCCACGATTGGACGACCAATCCCCGGTCTGGCCCCGGTCTGCAAACAATCAGAAATGACTTCCGGACACAGATCAATGAAGTTCAACTGCGGATGTGTATCCCGGCATACGCTCCGGCCATGGCAGCATGGGGTTGGAAAACCGGTTCATCTTCTTGAATTAAAAAACAAGTCGTTGCTTCAAAACAATCTGGTGACCGTGTGCCTTTCTTCAATTTGGAACCCCCTCCTCCGGCCAACGGCTAAAGGCAAACAGGACCGGTCCCTCCAGGTCGAATAAGGCCGATACAGATCGGATTTCTTGAATGGACCTATCCAACAAAAAGAAACACACATATCATATATATATATATATATACAGATATACACATGCAGCTAATTATATGTATACATATCATTACATCTCTTATAGATATATATTATATTATATTTGTTTAAATCGTTTTTTTCTTCACGTGCGCATTGGAAGACCTTGCGGCCCAGCAGCGGAAACATCCCAAAGGCTGGGATATGATTGCTTGCGATCATGACTTGCAAACCCAGGAAGAGCACGGGAATCCCTAGACCAATGCCCACGTTCATAGCATCGCAAATGGATAAATAGCCTGGTGGATGGTGAGGAGAAGCGGCAAATGCTTTACGTCCGGGTTTCGGGACCGGAGGGGCTTCTCGCTGTTCCATGTCTGTGAGTGAGAATGGCCCTTACTTCAAAGCCTTAAGCCATTTTTGGTGTGACTGACGAAGAGTAAATGGTCGAACGAATCAAATCCCTTGAACATCTTGAACTGTACTCATGGGTGGCTGCCTCATGGACAATTATCAGTTCACGGCTTCTCCTCACCATGTGAGCCCGGACTCAGTCAGGTCAACCACCGAACGACCCAGATAGACGATGATCGATTCGTGGGAGTTTCCAACCTGGACACGACCTGCCTGGGACTGGCATTGCAGAAATGGCCTCCAACCTACTGGCGAGGGTCTCCAACCTAATGGCGATGGCCTCTAACCAAATGGCGATGGACCTAGAATCCCAATGAATTCCCTCTCAATCCTCTAGCCTCTACCAATGAAAGGATCTTTGCATACCCTCGGCCAATTTGGCTTGAGAAAAAAGCACACAATTAGTATCATATCATCATCAAATCCTGCCTCGCCCAACTGCAACACCAAGCGGAATTGGTGCTGTGGGTTATCCAACTTTCTTTGGTACACCAATGAAGGATATCCATCAAAAGCAACCTGGACCCATTCGATCCAACCGGTGCGGGCATAAATCCAACCCACGTGGACCACTCGGGGTGGAGAAACGTGACGCTGGTGGCAGCACCCTGCCACAGGGTGCTCCAGGACCTTCTACCACACCTCCAGGACCCTCCAGTTGCGCTATATATATATATATATATACGTATATACAATGAGACAATGAGGATCTCTAAAATGACAATACAAAAACCTATCAAACCTCTATAATGGAATGAGAACACTGAACACTTGACAAAGACCTGCGGCCATTCAATTGCAAGTTGCATCTATGGGTGTAACACAACCAACGGCACTGCAAGGTACTGCTACGAAAACTGGAAGACCGGTGTGGTTTCATCATTGAACCCAGCCACAGGACAAAATCAACTGTGGCTGAAAGTCCTTGACGGCAGTGACCAGTTTCGTGAGCATCTCTTCTCGGACTGAAGTTTTGGTTTCGCTCATGGACTTGGTAAGCTGTGCGAAGTTGTTGTCGGAGAAGGTCTTGATCATCTCCTGAACCAACGAAGGCGCAGGAGATGCATGACACAAGAACTAAACGCACTGCCTTTCTTTAGGAAAAACACATCGGTAATTGTCCTAAAGTTGTTAAACCAACACATCCATGTTAACAAACAACACATCTGGAATCCATGATCATCCATGCATACTGATTCCTAATGTCGTTGTGCTCTTTCTTTTGTGCTGAACGTTTTTCAGCATGACAGGCAACTGACATAGTGTAATCAATGAGACTGATCTCCCCAGCCAAACTGATCGGGTGTAGCTCTGGAGATTTGAGGTGACACTTCCCAAGCAGCATTGAGCCAAGAGTGGCGACATTGATATATATATAGCTTTAAAAAAGCACTGTGTGACACATGGCTTCTTCTAAAACACAGTGACACCAGTGGTGGAATCTATGGCCTTGCCAAGCTCCCCAGTCACTCTCCTCCTTCTGGCAATCCTTCTTCGTGTCTACAGGGTAAAACTCAAAGAAGTCCAAAGCAAATGGCTTGGTGAGTTCGGCACCTGACAAAAACGTGTTTTCTCTCTTTTTCTGCGTTTTTGGACCAACGCAAAGAGAACGAAAAACACCTGGACAACAAGATTGCATGGGATAGATGATAGATTGATGCAATGTAGGCAACCAAGAATGGATTCTGTGAGACGGGTCTGAGGTTTCGCTCTGGCCTGGCCCCACAGGGGCTCAACGTGACGCCGCACCCAGGTCTGGCGTGGATCAAAACACCAAAAAAGCCCTATAGGTGAAGCAACTGGAATAAGTGAACGGCCTGGCGCCTTGGATATGCAATATGATCCTCTACCCATGGTGTTTAAGTGGTAGGTTTTCCACTTTTCGTACTCGGAGGCTACAAATCAGGTGAAACTCGACAAACCTGGTGCACATAGGAACCTCTGTCATTTCTCTCACTTGCGGAGCAAATGTGTTCTAGGGCTCACCTTCCAACATACTGCCTCATAGAAACTGAATCAGTGGAGACACGTCAAACAACTTGCTGCCTGGCAGTCAGGAACTTCAATGGCACTTCACCCGTCAAGCCTTTTTGTATCTCAAGGAGCCTGCAATCAAACAAATATAAACACATATAAATATGTATACCCCATTATATATATTTATAATATATTTACAAAACAATAGGACAGTAGATCCCCACTAAAAAGGTATTGTAAACCTTCATACCGATTCTATTATCATTTTCTATTTGGAGACCACCATAGATCTTAAACGGGGACGGCATTATCTTAAACATGTTTAAACCACCATCCACAGCAAAAAGAGGGTTCCAAAGACTTGGTCGATGACATCCTGCGGTTCAGGCGCAGTAGGAGGGACCAAGCACTAAGACGGAGTAGCCTCAGTTGGACTCAATTCAAACTTGGAGACATTTTGGGGTGGGATGCCCATGTCCCCTATCGGGATTCCAAGGCTTGGCAGGCTTCTTGAGGTTTGACAGGAAGTTTGGCACGTTTGTTCAGGGATGTTCTATGACTGCTCCGCTGTATGTCATCCAGGTTCCAAGAGTGTCGGTTGTGTCGACCTCTGAATGTCCGGACGGTAGCAGGCTTTGGTGTGGACATCTCACGCATCCGAGGGGCCTTTTGACTAGGAACCAAGTGATCCTCTCGGAATGAGGCTGAATCTGCAGCTCTTGAACTGAGAAACGGAGCCTACACGGGCTGAGCCTATTCTCTGATGCTTCCAGCACCATGGGACCGTCCTCAGAATGCAATCACCTCCTCCATCCTCCTCCCAACCCCAAAAAATCGATGGAATCGTTCAAACACGACGTGTCAAAAAAACGCTAGAATTTGTGATCGAAAACTCCTGAAACTCAAGCCGCAAGCCGCAACAGCTCAGCCTTTTTCATGTCGAATCTGCCTCCGTTCTTTGCTCTCCAAGTGGCTAGCCCTTCTCAGGGCCAAGGCTGCCACCACATACGGCTGCACGTCGCCACGTGAGCCCTCGATGACCAGGGCCACGCGACGGGGCCCTCGGCGAGGACATGTTCCAAAGCAGCTCCAAAGAAGCTACTAGTAACAAGAAGCTTAGGTTGGAGGCCATCGCTACTAGGAACAAGAAGCTACTGGCAACAAGTGCTACCAGTAGCAAGAAGCTACTAGTAGCGATGCCCTAGTGCATCTTCCAATATCGGAAACTTGATTGATCAACCACGCGAAACTGTATACTAGGCTATGGGGGTTTGGGATCTAGAAGGAGAAGGAGAGATAGAAAGGCACAACGCACAACAGCTCTGCATCTACCAGTTTGTTCGAAGTGACCTCAGCTGGAGGGGCAAAGCAGTGTCCACATCAAAAATCAGCAGCTTTTGTGACATGTGTAGATGTGTCTCGATATAAAGTAGGTATATAATTATTCAATGCAATTCAATGTTGAGGAAAGTAAATCAGGCCCGCCAAAAACAACCCTTCCTGCAGCTGTCATCCAGCAGCGCTGCCCAGCCCTTCTAGCACAAGGGTCAAAAGCGGGTCTCTCGAAACACAGGTTGGTGCCAGCTTGAAGCCCGGGTGACAGAGCAACCCAAATTCCCGACAAGCGAGGCAGCTCAACGGCCTTTGACATCACCTCCCTCTGCGACCAAGATTCCCATCGAATGCTTCTGGACGCCCAGTCCAAAGCGCGTTCGGGCCCAGCTTGGTTTGAGCCTTTAGATGGGTTGAACTGTTTGCTGCTTTCTACTGCGTTCTATTGGCTCCACACACGACCCCCTGAAGTTCCAGGAGCATCTTGAACTTGCACTCATCTTGCAAATGTGGGGGCCATCGGTGAGCCATGCGGATGCGGATCAAATGCTTAACCTCACTTGAAGATTTTAGCGGATAGTCCTAATTGTCAATGGATGTCAATGGCATCACTTGACATGCACCGAAAGGTGATGAGCAGAAAGCCTCCCCCCACAAGCAAAGCTGTCACTTCAATTGAGCATTGTTCAAAACCTATCGAGAATGGGCTCTTTCGCAATACTTTTGCGGCTTGTATTTTGCCGTCCGCGTGCTGCATTCTGTGCAAAAACACGTTCGCAAGCTTTCGCGGAAAGAACTGGTTTCGCAAGTGCAAGCTAAGTGCGCGAAATCTTTTGCGACTGCATGTTTAGCTTTCACGAGGGCATCTTACATTAACCTCTCTTCAATTCTTGTTACGTGGGAAGTTTTGACCGCGGCTCAGTTGAAGCTGATGACCTCACCATCCATGGTAGATTGAATTCAGATTGTAAACTGACCTTGTCGACCAATCCCCACAAGTTATATAAGCCTTCTTCGCCTTTCGTTCCCTGAAACCTGGCCTACACTGTCTACATATTGGTATCTATTGGCGTCCCATTGAAGTTCATTGAACAGCTGAAACCATTACAGTAATTGTATATCTTGCTTGGCTATTCAAGTGCAAACGAGCCGATATAGACTCCCAAAAGAAGTCAGCATTTCAAAGGGAGAACCACCCATACACTTGGTCAAGGAACCTTACCTTCCAGGAGGTTCATGATATCATCCTTTAGTTGTCTTTCAACGTTTTGTTTTCAATAGGCACCGTCGGTCGCAGCACCCTGTCGTCGCGCATGGTCCTGCTCCAACAGGGCCATGTTCCTCTGAGGCACACCCACCCTGCGTGGAGCGAATGGAGCTGGAGCCCGACCCGCCCTTCTGCTGAGGCGGGCAGAACCAGCTCAGTAGGTGAAAACCACGCAGAGTACTGCTGGACAAGTTCTCTGCATCAGGCTAGGGAGGGAATTTAGGGAATACACATCATCCCCGCCCACACGGTGATGAACAGTATATATGACTACACATATGCAAGGAGGGTATATAGATATTTTACTGGACCAGCCAGATCATGGAATTCCCTTCTCCTTTTGTATAATTACAATGAGTGCTAGAACATGACAGAACGGGAGGGGAGGCAAGTCGCCAAGTTGTTGTCCTCCATATATGATTTACAGGCCGATTGCCTACCATCAATGCATAGGTCAAAGTGATTTAACTACCCCCTGCAAAAGAAACCAGCGGAAATCTCAAGAGTAGCGAGTCAGGTGCCGAACACCCCGAACATGTTGCCGGCAAGTAGCACATGTTTGACTGTTCCACGAAATGTAAATGGATGCATGCACCTAACATATATTCCTAACCAACAAAAAACCTTTTGCAACACATGCCAACCTCCCATGTTTAGACGGGTAGGTCAACCGAGTGATCTTTCTCTTAAGGAAAAACCGCTACCGAGGCTGCGAGCAGTGAATCCGGACGGACCGCTGTGCAACCGCGGTCCGTCCAAGCCCTGACACCGGACCGGCCAAGCTTGCCTTATCAACCCATACCACCGTCCGACCGTCGGTTCAGGCAAAGCAAACGCACACGATGTTAACTGTTAGCTGATGTTTGTGTACCAATCTATAGTGGATTGAGAGTAGATGGCACCCATGGATTCCCCTCTTCCCTTGCTGCTCAAGTCCTGCCGACATGGAAGCCGGGCCCCCGCACTCGGCCACATCGTTCCAGTAGACACTCCCTAGCCTGAGCGAAGGTGGGAAGAAGGTACTGCAAGGCAAAGCGAAGTCACCGTTCTGTGGACATGGAAGAGGGGAAGCGGTACCGGTGAAGATACACCTGAGATTGCAAGCCAGTTGTGTACACCAAACCATCCACGAGGATATATCTTGGGGGTAGCTGACTGGTAAGGGACCCAAATGAGTCGCACTAATGTCTTTGCAGGCTTCACCTTCACTTGCTTGCTCATTTGGAATGGACAACAGATTAACGATGACCGATGACCTGTGTACTTTATACATATAGTAGATAAACAGCTAGCTGGGGATAGCTCACGGGGCAAATCAAATGATCAAATTCCTACACTCACCACTGAACGAGGAAGGCAAATTACGTTTTTCTTTGCTCGGGTAAACGGGTATTTGTTCTCTCCTGCACTTCATTCCAGAACTGTCTAACATTTCACCTCTCCATGTTCTGCATGGAGTTTCTAACATTGTCTCAGTTTCAAGCTATCACCTCTCCATGCTTTCTCCATTCACTTCGAAAAATCGCACCCTTCGTCATCCTTAAACTATCACCTCTGGGCCTCCCGGACACGCGTGCGTTGGCAGGCGCCAAAGCTGCTAAGCTGTGAAGTAACAGGGACTTCCCAGCGCCAGAGGGGCCCATCAACGCCAAGAGCCGCCCAGAGCGGGCACACCTGGAAGAGGTGAGACTGGAGACCTCCAGACCTCCGGTGTAGTGCACGACTGGGTCTCCAGATCATCTTGGACATTCCTGGACCACTTCGAGAAGTTTCAAGTTCATCAATCCAGGTGGTCAACTCACATGACACATCAACTAAGGCATCCTGATCCCCTCTGTCTCCCTCCCTCTCTCTCTCGCAGTGTTTTTCAGCCCTCATCTCCACTGAGAAGCCCTGCCCGCTGTGCGGCTGCACCAGGGTCTGCCCATTCACAGACACCGAGAGGTTGTGCCAATAGATCCCCTCACGCGTTTTGGTCGGTTGCTGCATGGCCATGGACGGATATTTCTGGTCATTGGAGTCATTGGCCGAGGAAATTTGACGGTGAGAAAGTACACGTGGTTCTCAGGGTGCTGTTCCAATGAAGGTTCCGAGTTCAGTTTGCAGACCGCATCAATTCCGGTCCCTTTCGGCCGGACCGCATCAATACCGGCGCGTCTGAATGAGTGCTTTGAGTGCTGGCACTAGTGCCCGCTAAGCCTAGTCAATCAAAGGCCTTGTGGGCCATGCTCTTACTGTTCATGGCAAATGGTGGACTTCGGGGCCCACTGACCATGGGGCAACGACGGATGCTGAAACGCGCCTCCTCCGTCATGTGGGCAGCTGGATGCTGTTGTGGGAAAGCGTTCAATTATGTTCAACTGCCTTGTGGTAGGGGATCCTTTCGCATGGCAAGATGGTTTGCCTAGGGGCCTAGCCGTGCCGGGCCGTATGCTATGAAGGGAGCCATCAAATGACGCACCTACTTCCTCTTGCTTTGGCATGAAACCATCCTGAGCAAGGCCAAAAAGCAGTGTGATGGCTGATGGTAGTGCATGTCGCCTCCATGCTTCTTCTCATTGTCATCTGTGAGCCATCCAAGTCCATGTGAGCCAGTCATCGCACAGGAAGCTGGGGCCAAAGGACGGTGAAACGTGGAAGGATTGAAGGAAGGTGCCCATCTGTGGCTTCCTGGCCTGAATTCCACTTGTTCCATGGCTAGCACGAGCTGAGCTGAGCAAAGTGGACACGATCTGTCAGGAGCAATTCATAAGTGAAGGTCACCATCCCCATGCAGTCCTACGGTCCTACAGGCTTGTTCTAGGGGTGTAAATAAGCAGCGTTTCCCCTCCAATAAGGAAAACGCTTTGAACGAGCAACACCAAGAAGTGGCTCAAAGTCACCTGAACATGCCTGGGAAACAGGATCGTCCACATCTAGATGTTCCTGCAGGAACATCACCTGGGGACATGGAGGAAACATCTATGATTTTCGATTCCAACTTCCAAACCTCACCTCAAGAACCTCATGAGCCTCATGGGGTGTCTGGCCCAAGGAGTCTCATTGGGCGCCCCCAAAAAGTGCGCCAGCTGGGCCAGAGCTTCGCGACATCTGAGAAGCCGCCGTCCTTGGCGACCTCACCACATGAGAAGCTTCACGGATCGTGATCGGTCGAGGTAGGGTGACGGGAGGCGACCGAGCCCTCTAGTCAGTAGTTGAATCCCTAGGCCCGAACGTGCCAGTGAAGTGACGTCAAAGTCGCTATTCTGTCTTACAAAAACCTTGTCATACAAGAGGTATGTGGATCCTCAGGGTGGTCGGACCAGGAAATTTGGCTCGTGAAATTTGGCACGTAGGCAAAACGACTCGATTTCATCGCCACTATTGCATGGGCCTCAAAAAATGCTCAAGCTGGTGGTTGCAGGCATGCTTCCCCTCGCAAGCGACTGAACAATCTCTAGTTTGAGCATCTGGCCGCAGGCTACTGCACACGACCCGCGTAATCTAACCTATACAATGTGCGTAAACAAACATCAACCTACTACGATGTTTGGTCAGTGACACATTTATTCAATAGTGGTATGCTGCGGTATGCTCCGTATTTGTTGCACCCTGCCGGCAGTTGTCTATCATGAACCAACAAATCAGGCACAATGGCAGTCACCAACCGTTGTCCCATGGCAGGTGCACGGGAACCGCCCCTGCCACACCAGACGTGGATCTCCGAGGTGAATGGCTGCGAAAGGAGAGAGACTTTCGGATCAGCCTTTCAACTCCATACGAAAACATTCAAGTGAACACATGTGAAAACATCATATTAAGTGGTGAACACATGTGAAAGTCCACCTATCAACAACCCTGGACACTCTCAAGATCAATCGGCACGATCTCACGGGTGAAACGAGACTCCCTGAAGCCAAGCCATCTGTACACATGGTTGGAGTGGGAGATGGGGTAGTCCCATATCATACAAAAACGGCACAGTGAACCGATCGGCAAAACAGGGATGGCTGTGTGGATGTTGATGAACATGTCTCAACATGATAGGCCCCACAAACTGGTCTGGCAAATGAAAACGGTCGACAAACCCATTGGGGTGGGGCCTCATCCTGAGGCACGCTGGCCTGCTTTTGAAAGCGTATGTAGCAAAACACACTCACAAACATGAAAACCATAACCTGCCATGTTGCCTGGCCATTGAACCGAAAACTACTCCACCGTGGGAACCTCCTATATTGTAAGGTCATATATAGCGTCAAACTAATTTTTGTTGGCTTCTCTGGGCTTCCGGAGGTGATTCGAGCCCAGTCCGGTTCCATTGTGCGAAGCTGCCTGGATGTTGTGGAAGATGTCTGGTTCTTCGACATCGTAAAACCTGGGTGGGGAACAAGGTGGCCGGCACGGTAGAGGAGGGCAACGAAAATGCCAAGCCAAGAAAAGTGTTCCGAACATCTATGTTGATATTGTATTCTGATATTGATCTGAAATTAAGTATGTGTGGAGGAACTTCACATCACACCGTCAGGAGGCCTGTGTCTTCGTCTGGTACGGCCTATTTCCTGAACCGACTGGTGGCAAGAATGGATGCATACTGCCGCCTAGATCTGGACGTCCCGTTTGCCACACCCAGGCCCATCATGCATCTATTCAAAAACATCTCGACAACCACTTGAATCCTCGCATCTCAGCATCTTCAACGAGCTCATGTGACATCCTGTGACCGCGTGGAATGCACGGTTCAGCCACCAAATGTGAAACTGGATGTGTTCATGAAACCGGTCATTTCAGTGGAATCAGTTGCAAGGTGTGATGAATCACCTCTAAGATGGGGTAAACCCAAATAATTTTGCTAGATCATGATCGGTCAAAGGAGGCCAGGCATGCAGTCCATTCATGTCAATTCTAGTTATTGATACATTTGACCATCGAGTCATTGAGTGTCTTATCATCTTTTATAAACCTTGTGTTTGCTGGGCTGTTGAATGATCCTCCCAAAGCCGAACCTTGGATGCTCTCCCAGCCGCCTCCCCAGCCACTGTCTCTCCTTTCGGCATCCCGGGCTTGTTCCACATGTCATGTCTCAGCTCCGATAACTGGGGATGGGCCCTCGGCGCAGAATGGGTGTGGGCGGTGTGGCCTTACGTGTGCCAACTGACAGCTGCAGAACATCTGCACTGTACCAGTTGCCTTGGTCAATCTTGTTCACAAAAACATGTATAAACATATATATATATATATATGTGAATATATCATGATAATATATGTATAACAATTACAGTCTTAGAACTTAGTACAGTTTCCTTTCTGGAAATTTGCTGTGGCGTTTGTCTTTCATGACGCTTGCCTGGGAAAAACTTTAAAACAAACAAGGGGCTAAACTTTAAAACAAACAAGGGGCTAGTTTCAACAAACAAATGATTTGCATTACCGCAATAAATGAAACTATATATATATATATTTTTTTTTTTCGCGGATTTTCCGCCCATGCTGACACCATGGTTGATTCGTCTCTAAGTTTGGTCATTTGTGCGACCCCTTTAAGGCGCGGCCGCTTTTTTTTCCGCCCAGGCAACGCAATGCCGAGCCCTGAAGGGAGCCAAGCAGGCGTGATGCGTCTCGAAGACGCAGATCACAGGAATCGAGGAGCAAAACCTTAGATCTCAAGTGCCCCCTGCTTCAAGACCTTGGCGTGGATTGAAACAGGTCACTTCCCCAAAAAGACCCTGGAGCAGAACACTCCAACCGAGATCGTCGCATAATCCAAGCGGAGTAGCTGTGGAGACCACGGTTGCAAGTTGGTGAAGTCGTTGCATTGAAGAGATCTCTTGCAATGCAAACATTTCCTCCCACTTGCAACCATCCTGACAGCATTCTTGACGCGCTGTCAGGTTGCCCTTAGCAGTTAGACAAACAGCCGAGAATGGTGAGAAAAGGGCACGCGCAATCACCAAAGCGTTAGACTCAAACATGAGCATGCACTCGACACAGCATAGTTGTCTGGATGAGTGATGATGAGTGATGAGACCAGTATCAAACCAAACACAGCTACAGTGTTTGACCCCAGGCCCCGGCCTTGCAAACCTCCACTGCGGCGTCGAAGGTGAAACCATTTGGATAAAGATTGTTCACGTCCTCATTTCGGGGCCGTGCGCAAGAAGTTCAAAACTAGAGAGCCAAGCAATGAGTTCAGCTGTCTGGTGAGTATGCGCGCACTAAAATCAAACACATACATTCCATTCCATTCCATTCCATTGCATTCATACATACGTGCATACATACATACATACAAACATACATACAACCATCGCCCTCTCCTTAAAGTATAACTTAAAGTAGCCATGGGCTAGGGCGAGAAAAACTCGGCCAGCCCCGGAAAAGTGAGAAATATACATGTACTTGCAATATGTAAGGTATACTGTACAGTATGCATAATATATATATAACTACATATATATATATATAATTGTTCCCCACCTGCCAGGTGAGGACCTTGACATTTTAGATGATTTTGGCAAAAGCGTTTCTTTGCCACCTGGACCTCCTCCACCTCTTCCTCCTCCTGCCATGTCCTCACGCCTGCACACCATCGACAGCGCCAGGACAGTCTGGGCACGGGCCCTCACGGACCTGGACACCATAGAGAGCTCCAGCCTAGTCTGGGTACGCACGGGCCCGCACACCATCGAGAATGACAGATGACCTGCCTGATGGGCAAAAGGCTTGCCAAATGCCGAAACTGTGCCAGAAAGACCGCCAAAAGCCAGCTATACCAAAAGACGTGGAAGGAACACATTTTGAAAGATATGCAAGATAGAAACATGCCCAGAGGTATGCCAATTAGAATGGCAGGAAGGTATGCTAGATAGAATGCCAGAAAAATTTACCAGGCAAGGTGCCAGAAGATACGCTATGTAAAATGCTAGAATATATACCAAATACATACCGAATACTGTAGAATGCCAAAAGATGCGGCAAACAGAATGCAAAGTAGAGTGCCAGAAAGGATGTCAGAAGATGTACAATGTACCAGCTAAAACGCCAGATATGCCAGATAGAAGGCTATGACACTTAAAATGCCAAAATACAAGAAAGAGAAAGAACGTCAGAATACGTGCCAGTTAAACATGTTAAAATTAAGTCAAGTAGAATGGCACTGCCAAAAGGTATGCCAGAAAGGATGCAAAGAAATGCCAGTTTTAATGCCAAACTGCTTGCCATAAAGAGTGCCAAATCATTCGTCAGAAACTACAGTATATCAGGGCATATGTCGGAACATGTCATGTGGCATGTTGGATGACAAACAATGTCAGAACACATATCAGAGCCGAAGCTGGGCCATATGTCACAACACACGTCAGACTCGACGGCAAATCAAATGTCAGAACACATGCCAATAAGATCCAATAAGGATGCCAGAACACAGGCCAGAACCGTCTGTTAATACATGTGCCCTGCCTTCCGCCAACTCGCCTTTCAGTGCTTTGTTGGGCACTTGCAACCAAATTGGCAGGGGCGCAGGAATCATGAACAAAAAGAGTAAAAACACTTGCAGTCGTGTCCTATCGTTTCCTGCCAGAAACACGCCTGTTTGAAACGCTACATGCTTGCAGTCTTCAACTTAAAAGTGCTGAGCCAAAGAGAGCGTGTGCACCCTCCAATACTAATCAGTACATATCAGTACTACACAGGTACACGGCTAAGTGTGTCCCTTTAGGGGCTCCACTCCGTGGGGGCGGTCTAAATCGTCTCCGCCAAGATGCCATCTGCTCGAGCAATGCCAACGGAGCCCGCCAGGACTTACAAGAGGAGATCAAAGCAGTGAAGCTCACCTGAATAAATACAAAAAGGGCATTCTTGGACTTCGTAATGAATCGCGTGACACATGTTGCGAGGGCACATGGTTTCTTCGGCACATGTTAGTAGATTCGTTGGACATGTCAAACAAGGCATCGACGCTAACCGGGGCCCCGCGCAAAACGAACGTTTCCTTGCAACACATCAAATGCAAAGTGGTCAATACCCTGGGCTTTTGGTGTTTTTGAAGATAGGCTCTTAAATGGGTCACCTTGTGTTTCTAGTGACAGGCCCAGTATAGAAGGCACGTGTTGTGCCAGGGTGACTGGGGAGAAAAAATTGCTTTGGAGAAGGGCCGAGGCGAAAGCGACGTCTCTTTTCTTCAGCGGATCAAGCGGGCGACCGCCTTCCAAAGATCGCCCTGTGCGTTCTGAAAAAGCTGCAGGCATAGCTCCACAGCCGCTGCAACACCACCCTGGCATCCGCTTCCATCTCACGAGCATGTAAAGACTTGGGCATGAACTTTTTCAACAGCTTCCAGAAGTTGTCCAAAGCTTGCATGCCGGCCACGGATGCCTGGTGGGGAAACTTCTTGCGACCTTTCAGGTCTTTTGTAAACTCATGTTTATATGGTTCACCTACGCAAAAGTAAGGCAGGCGATGCAAGAGGGACATGCCCTTCCAAGCTCTGTTACCAAGACACAACGCAAGACGCATATGCTGCATGTTTGCGGCTGTGTGTGAAACGGCTGCGTGCAAGCAAAGGAAATTAGACCCCAGCCCACCCCACCCCCCCACGCCCCATAGGAACACAGTGTGTATACATACGAAGCTGAACCGTAGGCCCTGCGAGTGTACATCCAATTGTAAAAACGTCTTGCAAGCCTGAAACATGGTAAACATATGTAAAAATTGTGGTTTCGCGCGGGGCCCTGGTTAGCGTCGTAGGCTTAAACAAGCATTAACAAGCATGATCGATTATTGAATATTGGCCCTGAAAAGGCCTTATGGTTCGCACAAACACGAACCTGTCATGACTCGGATGGCACGAGTCAAACCCCCCGACGAGTGCAACCACCAAACGGCACGTCTCCGCCAGGTCGCCGCGTCGTTCTTCGGCGAAGCATCAAAAAAGGACCACGCCACCCTCCAAGCGCTGATTGTGGCGCTGATCCCAGCGTTGTGGCCTGAAAACGGTGGTCATCAAGAATTCTCATTGTCATTCGGTTCGGTGGCTGGTGAAATCCAACTTGGGGTGAACATTTCCAGCCAAAAAGGCTAAAAGTTGTCTAAAGTTTCCAGATCCAGTGCTGAACATCTCCATGCGTCGGGCAGTGCGGGTGTTGAATGGTGTTGGTGTCCACGGTCATGTCCGAACTGCTGCACCACGACGCATGTGTTTGGAGCTTGCGATGCATTTTGCCCACTCCGCGGCCAAACTCCCAGTCTCCAGTCATAGTGTTTGCTTGGTAACAAGAAGCTACGAACGTAGCTCCTGGCATTACGACTAGTAACACGAAGCTACTATAATTAGCAAGGCAGCTTACTACTATAGTAATAGCAAGAAGCGACTATTTAGTAGCCGTTTACTTTTATGTTTCTCTCTCTCGCTCTCTCTCTTTCGCTCTCTCGCGCTCGCTCTCTTCACGCCCAGTGGCTCACTCCATCTGGAGCCACTCGGACCCTCTTCATGCGACCAAAGACCGCCACGGCCCAAAGCCATGCAGCCGTGGTGCCTTACACCCACGCCATGAGTGAGCGGGGGTGGCTCACTGGCTTTCGTACATGTATTCAATGATTCTACCATCATGATGGTCTTGGGGATTTCCATCCATTTCCCATGGGAAAACATGTCACAAGCCACTGGTACTACTGGACCTTGGACTCCGATTCAGCTCAGGAGCCCAAGGCGCTCATCGAGGCATTGAAGCTGATGGTGGACCATGCCCCCTGGTCAGTGGACCCGGCCGGGATAGGTGTTCTTATATTTGGTCAATCAAAAAGGGACTATGAAGATCTATGAGGGCTGCCCTCAAACTTCAAACTTGATCAAATCAAAGTCTTTTGGACTGCTTCTGAGCTAATTAGGGATAACCTGACTTCTTGGATAACCTCTAAGCACTGCATGTCATTCGATCTTCCAATCTCCTCGATCTTCCGATCCCATCTCCTCGATCTTTGCGTCCCATGACCCCAGCCTGCATCCCGCACAAAAGGCTCAAAGCCATGTCCCAATCGCCACTCCGGGCGCATGCGCTGATGGCTGCATTGCGAGAAATGGCATCGGCTTCCAGCTGCAGCAGCGTCATCTCATCCAAGAGTTCCTCGGTCCCCATCGGTGGATGGACCCCAGTGAGTGCAGAAAGAACACGGTGAACACTTAAACAGAAAGGGAGCTCTGTATAGGACAAATGGTCCATAAAAAGGGGGTAGAATTCTCACATCTTCTGGTCTAATCTGATGAGATGGCAAAGAGTCGATGGCCAAATGCCCCTGCTGACCCTTTTCTAATGCACTGATGGCAGCACTGTAGCAAATCACATCTGCTTCCTCCTTCCTCAGTTGCAACATAGCCCCAGGAAACCGCTGACAAGAAAGCTCCATGCATGGTTGAGTGTGCAGTCTGTGCTTGAACTTGTTGCAGTGGAACAAACAAATCAAGCATGAGTAGGTGTAGATGAAAAGGCAATGTTGCCTTTTGGCTCTGAACAGTTGATTTATGTCGTACGATCCTCCGCCCACGCGCAAGTCTTGCTCAGGTGCCCAAGTCGTCTCAAGAAGGCTAAGGCCTTCTGCCATTGTCGCCCCTTCCTCGGCGAGGAGTGGCTGCCAAATCTGCAAGCCGGCGATATTCATGTGTAGACTCGACCCAGACATCAACCAGTGGTCCATGTCGTGGGACGAGTCGTGGACCGTTGACGAAACATCTCACCAAGCACTGGGACCCTGGGACCCTGGGGTGGATGCTGTGCCACCATGGGTGAGTAGGAACTTGCGCATGGCCAATACTCAGCAGGCTCAGCCTAGTATCTCACATGCGCTGATCAGAGCGCCCCACGTCGCCAGGGAGGCACGAAGGCAGGCAGTTTCCATCTCAGTCAGGAGTTGCAAGGCCTGGGCGCTGGAGAAGCGCGTAGGTTTTTGAGATGTTGCCTGCCATCTTTGAGTCTAGTCTAGAGATGCCAAGGACTCAAACATGGAGCACTCTGAAGAACACAAGTCTTCGAGCATGGATTCTTCTTGGCTCCATGCGACCCGCGGACTATACGCGTGGCCCTTCTAAAGAAGGGCATGTCAGTCCGCTGAATATGATTGCCAGAATTAGCATCAGTTCAATATAGAATTCAGGTCTAAACATCACTAATTCACACAGGTATGTACAAAACAAATAATATATATATGTGAATATCAATGAATGTTAAAGTTTAAATATATTGTTTTACTACTTGGTTCCGATTCTACACATCACACATCATCAGTTTTCCTTTAAATCAAGTCTTTGCAATTCATGGTCTCATCATTGCTTGAGCTCAATTATCACCCGAACGGATCCTCTAAACTCTAAACCCCGGGGCAAGAATGGCATCGGTCACCGAGTCAAAAGAAGGCACCTCAAGAAGAAACCTTCACCTTTGTGGTGGGTCTTGGGACGTGTCCATTCGGCTCGATATTATTGAAGCCTGACGAGAAAAAATGAGAAAGGCAACAAACATCCGAGGTCTTGCGTGGTCTCCAGAACGCCAGAAACGCATCCGGATAGGATGGAGCAACAAACATGAGCAGCCAAACACCCCACATGAGCGGAGCCGTGCATAAGAAGTTTGCATCCCCAGCTGTTAACTTTCTCATCAACAAAATCCAGAGGAGCTCTGACCCAACATGTCTGGCAGAGTGGCGATTGGCCACGGGGCGGCCGCAATGGCGGTGTTGAAGCTCAACGCGTCAGGCTGCTGACCACCCATGGATCGCAGCAAAAGGATGGCCATGGTCCACCTGACAAGTTTGTGAGAATTCCACGGCTTGGACACCCTTGATAGTCTCAAGATCTGATTTTATAGAGAACACACCAAAGACTTGTGGGAATTCTCAACTGGGGTTCTGACCAAAACGCCTTTCTTTTCACGAGAAGAACGGCGGGAGAACGGGGCCGCCTGAGTTCACTTTGGAGATTTTTTCAACGTGGGCCGAGCATCTGATGTTGAGCTGAACCATCTTCAACAGTGAAGAAGATACGAAGAACGAAAAAGCCGAGGACAACACTTGAGAATGGGCACGGTGAATTTGGAAATGTCCGTCTCCTTGAGCTACAAATGAGCACGTCAACCTCCCCAAGGCAGGAAAAACATGGAAAACCACTAGGATCCTTGACCCCTGTAGATGATGGTCTTGTTGGATCCTTTTGAGGCATCCGTTTGATGGTCTTGTTTCTCACCACGGCCACTTGTCACGTTGATCGTTGATGTCCAAAGCCGAACATTTACAGTGCAATGACTTCACAATGGGTTGCACAAACCCGCTAGGACCCGCCAGGGGTTTTCAATCTAAGACCTCCTGGTCCATAGTCCATCTAATCTGAACTACAGTACGTAGTATAAACATCTTGGTGCATTCTGTGAGAAGTGCGACTCAATGTTTGCCAGGCGTGATCATGCTCGGAGAACTGACGGGTCCTTGTGGCTATGGATATGGTACCCTGGTACCCTTAGTACCCTTGTCACATTGTCTACCACCCAACGAAGAGACACCGTTGTCAGCTCGGTGGAAGCTCACGTTTTCAGTCACCTTGTCACACGTTTCAGGTGGGTGGGTGGCTATGACACTCTGTGTGGATTGTGTACTTGGCTGTTGGGGGGAACGAAGGCTTTCTCATCCCTTCGTCAAAAGGCCGAGCGGCTGCGCTGTCCCACACGCACGGATGCTGGAATTGAAGGTGATGCGACCTGCAGAAGTCCCAATGTCGTGACATGTCGTGACGACCAATGGTCGACCAAGCCATTCGATGGCAGAAACACGCCAATTCGATACGGGGAAATCCAATAGCCATTCAGTTTGGGACTCCTTACCCGTTGGATTCTGCAAATGTTGCGCGCGTGCTGAGCGTTTGGGAAGTCCAGCCTGCATGTCTGTGAGACCTCAGAGACCTACCTCCTCAACGAGGAACAATACAAAAAAGAAACTGAAAGAACACCATTCTTCAGGGACAACTCTGGTGCTTTCCATTTCTGCAAGTGAAGCAACACTTTGCAAAGTAACATGGTCTTCCAAGTGGGCCAGAGCCTTTTCATTCATTTTTTTTGGGATCATACATGATGACTCACCCCCACATCGGGACACGTGGATCCCACATCGGGACGGTGTGGATGTTCGTTTCCACCTTTCAAGGGACCATCCACGGGACCATCTTGAGATGAGTAAACCTCACAAGTCCCTGCACACGTGGTGCTTTCCCTCCAAGCAGCTTGGGCTTAGCCTCCTCCAGAAGATCGTGCTCATCAAGGTCAGCCTCGGGCCGAATTCTCTCAGGCCCCACCGAGCACCGAACAGGGCGGACTAATTTTTCGGCGGCGACGGTCGAGCCAAGTCGCATGGCATGATGAGCCATGATGACTCCCCAGGTTCTACCGTTTGTTTGGCGGAACTGGCCTTGACATGCCTTGACCAAAAATCGAGGTACATTGAAAATATCAGAACTGTAATTATATAACTGTATATAACCTCAGGCTTTACCCAGCCTAAGTCCAAGTGTCTAGGCATTTGCATCCGGAACTTCTGATATGGAAGAGGCTCAGCGACAGAGTTGCCCTTTGATGTTATACCGTCAAAAGGCAATTGACATGACATCATACATTCATCCACCACCCTGATACAATATTAATCCACCTCCGAGTCCTTCAGCCACAAATCCACACCAACGCATCACCAGGTCACGCAAACTCCCAGGCTGCGTCCCCCTCAGAGGCGCCAATGGCAGCATTCAGGCTGATAATGTCTGGCTCCTAGGCTGGGGCGATGGGGGCCATGACCCGGAACCTGCAGTTGTCAGGGTTTGGTTGTGGTTCTGTGCTTTTGAAGGGCTGCCTACAGCACCCAGTCGATGATGCATTGAGACTGCTCTGGTCATCTTGAAGTTGGAAAGCATCACTAGTGACATGTCGGATCAAAAAGTAATCTCTACAGGCAGGTTGCTGAAAACGCACCTGCCAAGCTGATGGAGGCAAAGGTGACACGGTTGACGCACAGGTGACAAAAAATGACGCGCACAACCGGGCGCACAACCGGGTGCTTTCAACAGTTTGGCCTTTCCGCCCGCGGTCTTCCTGAATTGTGTGTCCCAGTCTTGCAGTCCCACTCTCCCCATGTGTCCAGGCATTCCACAACACTTTTGGTGGGTTGGAGCAGCTCCATCCTTAATCGTTCCATGCTTGGATTGCTCGGGACGTGCTTTGAAATGACCTCTGAGAGTTGGAGATCTCTGACAGGGTCGGACCTCCGATTCCCTCAAACCCCAGTGGATAATGGTTCAGCTGCAGGCCGACATCTCAAACCATGGTGATTTGCTTGTTGACCGACTGTTGCAGGTAGTAGAACACCCACAATGGAAATATTATATAACATGGTATAGGGCACCTGCGAGTTCGGTCGCACGCACCTTCTGTGTCAGCTGTTGCAAACACGCCCCACCATAAAAACATATATATGACATTGTAATATGTTATAACTGCTGGGACATTCTGTTAGGAATAATGGTTGCTTGCCATGCTTGCAGGAGGAATATTACCTTTTTTTATTGTCTGATACAGTGAAGAGTGAATCCAGAATGAGCTGCCCCTTTGAGAACGGTTGTTTTGGGAGAGAATGCGAATTCCAAAAATCATTCTGAAACTTCTGTAGGTGTGTACATTCCTAATCTCCAGCCCCATTTCTGCCAAAGCGCTAGCTGCTGTGCACATGCCTGCCAGCTCGGACACAAACCTACTGTAATTAGTCGTAGTGGTCCCTAAAAACTTATATAGAAGTGGTTTCCAATACATGTTAGATAGAATTTAGAGGAATCATGGGGAATCTACTGTTCTAAGTCTATCGACTTTTTGGGGATCACCATAGTTCTTATGGGAGAATCCCTCATTGGCCTAATATGAGTGGCTCGTTGTCATGCTCAAAGGGACCGCAGCCATCATGGGTCTGAGTGACTTAGTACGTTACAGTACATTGGCAATTCTTAGCAAATGACTCCATACTTTGTCCCACTTCAACTGTTGGTCGGCCAAGTGCCTAGAGGGCAACTGGTTCTTTCAATGAAGCGCAATGATATTTGGGCAAGATAATCTAGTCTGCACTGACGACGTTATACCGCGTTCTCGCATTGAGAATCAGCACGTAAATCGGGGAGTGGAGGTGGCTTGGAATAGGTTCATGTTTCATACCTACAATTGGACAGGATGAAACAACTAGCCCGAAGAGGTAGGCTTTCGCCGGCTCATCTGAAATCTAAACGATTCATCTGAAATCTAAACGATTCATCAAACCAGCCATCTCCGATCTGTACTTTGCGCCTGGAACTACGCTGCGGGTCAGGATGGGTCGATGATGGGTCGGTGGCAATCCCCACGTCCCGAAGAGCAAGTGACCTCTTCTCAGCCCTTAAGCTCTCTCCCTCTCTCTCTCCTCTCTCTTTCTCTCCAGGACACGTCGGTTTCTATGTTTTTCTATGGAAGGGCAACTGGAAGTGCAGTCATCAAGCAATCTGCAACCCCTCGTTCTCCACCCACAAGCCATATCATCATCGCCTCCAAGAGCTGCAAGGAAACCACCCATGTCCTTGGCGAAGCTGAACCCTTTCCAAGGATAGAGCTCCAGGTCATGGGATCAGTCCTTAGGAGCATCTGACCAACCAATCAGCCACCCTAAGACCCTCCAAAACGTAGGGTTTTGGATGGGTTTTGAGGGCCCAGCCCTGCGAAGGTGTCGGGTCCAAGGATTCCAGGCAGGAACCTCTGCAAAGTCTGCAGCCGAAGATCTGCAGCCCCTTGTGCTGCGCTAAAGCCATTAGACCAATGGCATCTTCCCACTTAGAAGCACCTTGTAGTCCTGCACCAAGACGGACGAACAAATTGCACGTCTCACTCTGCAAGTGCGAAAATGGATCGACACATTTCATGCGAAAAAGGGTTCAGCAAAACGGTTTAGGAATTCTTGAGCACCAGCTGCGAAGAACAGTAAATAAAAAAAGCAACCAGTGAGCATGGTTCAGCTTTTGCCCACCAGGACCAGGATGAATTTGGTTGTCACCAAGCACCAAAGCAAGTCTCCCGAAGGGGAGCGGCTCTCAACACCTATGGCATCTGTCAAAAGGTACGCCAGGGCTTGTTGCAGCTTGCAAGCCAAGTCTTGCAAGAAGGTTACGCAACTCTTACTCTTACGCCAAATCATTTTAGCACCAAGCCGCAAAAACAGCCCACACGTGATCGCTCAGGTAGGGCACACACTGCATGTCCAGCAGAAAGGATTGGCACTTGGCAAAGACCGAGTCCAACAAATCAGTTACATTAGCTGCTGGGCAGCAAGAGCGGCAACGAGTGTCCTTCATGTCCCTTCATTTCACGGAGTTCTTTCAGGAGTTGGCACTGGGCTTCCTCGCTTTTGGTCAAGCACGTTTGGGCCACCGGTCTGATTCTAAAGCAAAACAGGCGTACGCGGGGCTTACGTGGATTTCCAACACCAAAACCATGAAATTGATTGATTGTTCATGGTTGTTCTTCAGTTCTGTACATCTTCTAAGGATCGATGTTCAAGCAAGTTTGTCTATGTACATATGGTCATATAGTCATAATGGTGGCCATAGATGACCATAGTATAAATGTGACACTAAATGTATGCTGAAGCTTGGGCGTGCGTACGCAGCTTACGCAACGCAACCTATCTCCCACCAAAAGCTTAAGCAACCTTGCACACACCACGGTGTTTGCTTGCGCGAGCCAGTCATACATGACAAACCCACCACTAAACATGAACATGGAGGTTTATAGAGTCGCTCCCCTAAACCTTTCCAATGCATTTGCAAACATGCTGGTGCAAGTGTAGATAGTGGATTCCACCCGATGGTCCGACACGCGGCCCTGCCTGCATTCACACAAACCAAGTTGGGAAGCTTCCCGTGCCCCAGCAGCTGCCACGATCTTCGCCAAAGACTTCCTGAGATGCTTGGTGTCGTTGTCCAAAAATGAAGGGGAAGAGTCGAAGACTTGTTTGTTCATGACATCCCTGTGGCTCGCCGAGCGGCTACCCCCTGCTGGAGCATAGCATGCAGCTCCCCTACTCGGGACTTACCAGCCCGATGATCGGCACTTGTCAGATCGAGCGTCGACAGGCACTGACAGCCGTACTGCAGCAAAAGGCGTCTGCTTGCAAGCCTTGAAGTTCCAACACCTTGGTCTTTCTCCTCTCGACATCTCTCGACTACTCCGCTTCGACTAATTACTCGTCTGGCATTTTTGGTCAGTCGTGATTGGTGGCCTTGGGTGGGGCACCAGTTTCTTTGTGGGTACTGATGGGTGCTGGGCAGCGACCCGTTGGTTGGGCACTGTGGCATCCATGGTATACCGATACCCAACCCCCGGTTTTCAAGCAGTTGAGCGAAACGTGGACTGAGATGGCATGAGACTGGCTCCTGCAAATTTGCCCAACCAAACCTCAACAAGCAACTCGGACATGTTCCCACCAACCCTGATTTGATGGTTGCCCACCACCATGGCAACAGGCAAATCCACCTCCCTAAGCTGCCAAACTCAGCCAAATCTGCCAAGTGGCGAGCAAAATCTGCAAAGATTTCATCCAACCTGCACGTTGCGGACGAGTTGCCACAAGTAAATTCCAAAGAAACCACCTGCTCGTCATCAACCCGCCTTCGCGTTGATGCACATCGCTCGTCAGGGAAAAGCCACAATTAAACAAATCATGAAACAGATATATATATATATATATAACGACTATATATTCGGCATATCTTTGGGCCATATTCAGCTCACGTCTCCGAGGATCTCCAGGCTGTCCGCTTTGGGGCTCGGTGGGGGTTCGCTCCAAGCCACCCAGGTCCGAAGACGCCGCGGCACCTCAAACGACGACGGCGGAGACACGGTTCACAGGGTCCACCGGGTCCACCGGGTCCGGCGGGATGCTGGAAGCAGCAAACAAAGAACACATTGGGGTGGTTTTGGAGCTCAATGTATATAGGCATATATGGCAGTCCCATGGAGTGTCTGGTCATAAGCAATCAACAGCAAAAAGTAATCTGGGTTTCTATGTCAATGTGGCCTGCGGAAGGCCCGTGGCTGGCACTTGGTCAACAAGAACGGGTGCTGAGAAGATCTCTTTCGTCCAGCTTTGAACACGAATGCACCAAACTCCAACCATCTCCAACCAATGGAAAAAGGCGGAACATATATAAACAAGCCACAGAATCTGCAAATGTTGGTATAAATAGACTTGAGATGTCTTGCAACTTTTTGAAGATAACATAACCCTTAAACCACTGTTTGAGATGACTTGCAACTTTAGGTATGTCTCAATACATCAGAACAATCCGCGAAGCGAAGCGAGGCGCTGAAGCTCTTGACCTCCGATCTTCGTCGCAGCAACTCCAGTGCCCTGGGCCAGTCCTGGGCGTGGAGCGCTCGGACATCGTACGATCCTCATTTCCAATCAGGAATCAGGGCGGCGCATAAAATCAAAACAAAAAGACATGCGTCTTGAAGGGAAAGTGAATGTTCTATGTATTTTGGGATCCTTATTTCCTCCATCGAACTCAAACATAACCCTTGCTAAAGGCACCCATGTCCACTTTAATACTCAGTGTATATACTATAGCTTAACTATAACTTATTATATAATTACTGGAATGTATGAGACTTGCTGTCATGTTTGCTTATTCGATGGCCATCGAATAGGGTTATACATGCAAAACCTCGCAAAGTCACAGAAAGTTCTCTCTGCTCTAAGGGTCATCCGGCTGATCGGCCACCACTTGGGAAGAACCGAAACGCCTTCAATCCCCTGACAGCTGCTTGCTTTCGGTATATGACCTGTTATGACCCTTAAAGCTGGCCACATTTTGCATGTGCTGGCCACCCTTCGGCATGCCTTGATGACCCCGTGGTAGCTGGCTCTTTCGTCAACTCCACTGCAACGCATGAGGTCCAACATGTCGATGGCCAAAGTCCAGTCATTCCGCGCACGCAAAGCCGCAGCACCAAACAAAACGCAGCGATAGTGCACCTGCTGCGGTTCCGGGTGAAAACCAACAACGACATGGATGGACAATGGACATCCATGGAATAGGTGTCGACCAACCGCAAGAAACAAAGCTCCACAAGTGTCTACAGAAACTCCAGATCCAGCCATGGATGCCTTTTATCCGTCTCAACCAAATGTAATTTAGCCTTGTAGCTTGGTCCCCCTTTCTGAGTCATGTCAAAGTCACTACCATGCCGAGCGGGTCGGCGAGTACAATACAATGGTATAGATTACACTAAAACCATACCTGGGTCAACCTCAGTATGCAAAAAAAAAGTTGCCTCAAAAAAACATATTATATATATATATATGTAATCAGAGGGGCTTGCAAAAATGACTCCCACTTTTTTTTGACTCTCAGTTTCTTGTTTCTGACGCTATTGATACTCAAGAAGAGGGGGAGGAAGAAGATGAAGATGTTCTCAGGAAGAAGAAGAAGATGCTCTCAAATTTCTTCATTTAAGATGCTAAAGCTGAGGGGGAGGAAGAAGAAGAATAAAGTGATGATGATGATGATGATGATGAACACAAGTCCAACCCAACCCCCAACCTCCAACCCATCACCCAACCCACAACCCAAAGCTGCACGCCAGCTGGTGGAGAGGCAAGTCCTGGCAATCACAGCGTTCAGTGATGAAACGTGTTATCACTAAAAGGGATCCGCTCCGCACAGCTCATTTTCACCCTCACATCGACATGTCATCGCTTTCCGCAGTCACATCGGCGAGACAAATCAGGTTGAAGCCGCACTGATTGAATCTGATCTCTTCGTTGGGACCTCGAATCTCGAATGTGGCAAAGAAAACATGTGACAAAAACATGTAACAAAAACAACTGTTGGACAAGGGGCCCAAATGAAAGAGCGGTCCTTCCACCCATGGTGCAATGTGATACATCTTTCCGCCGATTGGGGCCGTGGTATGGTATCCCACATCCTGACCAGGAGCATATGTGCAGGTTGCAGTCACGATGAGAGCCACTACCTTCCCTGCCTTGATATCCATCTTGTTGAGAGTCTGAACAGCTTCCATCGCATTGCTTGATTTGCTCAGCATAGATTCACACTGGTTGTACAAGAACTCTTGGGTCTTCTCCCAAACGTACCTCGAGTCAAAAACCGGACCCTTGACACAACGGAGACATGAACGACAAAGGAATGCTGTCAAGTAACTTCAGTGTCACAGAGTGCCTGATGTTCTCCAAAGTCACACGGCTATCAAAATCATCACTCCTTGGTGTCAGACTCATTCACTTGACGCACTTAAGAAATCCGACGGCCGAGTGACCCCGGCTCTTCCTGCGTCAAATGGTCTCTCCTGGATAAAGTGATCACGAAGCGCTGCAACCTGAAGAAGTACACGGAAACACTGAAAACCAAAACCAAATTCATTCAACACGACAATCATTACAGAATCTTGCAGTTGACACCTGGGCACTGCTCCATCTTGGCCAGGCATGACATGTCATCCAGCTGTCTCACCAGCAACTCAAGCATGAAGGTTTCAGCATCGTCAAGGTCAGACATGGCTCTCTAACAAGACCTGTCAGAACCTGCTCGACAAGGGTCTGCGGAGTGAGGGCAAAGATATGGCACATCAAACTCAAATCGCAGTATTTGACTTTGAACATGAAATGCTCCTTTGACATGACCGTTGAGGACCTTTGACCTGTGACTTTGAACAGCTCCTTTGACACGACCTTTGACCTCTGACTATTTGAATCTGAATCTGAATGCTGAAAAAATGAGTGTTCTTGAGGAAAAATGCTGAATCTGAATCTGAGATCGCCAACTTTTCCAACCCCAACCTCAAGATCCCAAAGGCATCATCAAGCGATGCGTTCTGTACAAATTTCCTCGCTTGGTGGATGACAGATTCAGCCCCGTGATGTCGATGCGATGCACATCCATCACATGATCAAACACTGAGAACGGGATGAGGAGGCTGACCGCATCTCCCTCCTCATCCTGCTCGGGATCAAAGTCCCAAGCCAGCACCTTTGATGCCGGTTGGAGCACCGAAGGCAACGTCAATGTCTCGTTGAGTGAGACATCGTCTGCAGGGATCCAGGCGCCGAAAATGTCCAGGACCTTCTTTTTGCGCCCGGCTCGCATGTTCATCTCTGGTGAACGTGTTGGATGGTACCACGCAAACCTTGGTTTGTGGCTGTCAATCAAACTGCTCCACCTGAAAACTTGAATTGCCAAACCGTTCAATGCCTCCAAAGAACAATCCCTGCTCTTCGCCATCGTAATTTACCAACTCCATCAAAACTCCGAGAACGATGGGCAGCGTTTGATCTTTGCCAGCCACAACACAGAAGTCGCCAGGGCCAATGAAAGCCTTCCTGGCAGGTGCTCGCGACTCGTCCAAGCCTGTCATGGTGACAAGAGAATCCTGAGGCAAGTGGCCGATGTCAGCCCCCATCGAAATTGAGTAGTAGATGTCATTTGGGATTTCCAGGGGGTCTGGCTCTCTGGCGACAAGCTGGCACGGGCCCAAATGAGCACTTCTCAAATCCGAAATCATAGTCTCCTCAGTGCATATGAATGAACCCACCCAACCAAAGATCTAACATGTCGCAATAATAATTTATCATCAAGCTTCCAGAGATGGGCCAGCATCTGGTCCATCCAAATAAGCCCGCAATTCACGAAGTTGCTCCCTTGCGACTTGGCCCGATGCTGCCAATGAGGCTTCCTTAGGCCAAAATCAGGCAAAAAACTATAGAAATCACGAATCATAGCTACAAATGCCCAAGCTTCCAACTTGTCTAAGAAGTTCAAGTGCTTCGCCTTTGATTGCTCATCAAACTCATGCTTCACCAAAGGCGGTTTTGCCGTGGCAAACACGGCAACGCGGTCATACTCAACCAGCAAACGTGGTGTTGACCATGACTCATCTGACACGTATTGCCTCCACTTGACCCAAATCCACATATTGTCCACATAGAGCCGGAGGGAGTGGACATTTCGATATCGGTGAAGCTCGATGCCATACAAGGTGCGAAGGTGAGTGAAGTCGTAGCTTGAACCGTGGTGGCTCCAGTTCATGGCAAATGCCTTCAATGACTGGGAAGAGATAGTGGCCATTTCGTCCATTGTGAAATACGTTCGCCCCCTCAACGATGTAATCAATCTGGAAAAGAACCGGTCCAGCGATCCGTGAGTGTGTCCCACCAGCGGGTATTGAAATTCCACAGCCTTCAACTCAGTGCCATTGTGAAGGGTTGCCAGCAGCCAAATGGCCCAGCATACGCATGTACTGTTCTTGGTCTCTTTCGGGGTGTTGTCGGCCCCCACATACAAGCACTGTGGGAGCCGGCCCTCTTTCATAGCGGTACGATGGAGTTGCCTCGTGAGCATTGTTGCCTGAGAGTTGGCTCCATGGGAGGCGTTCTCCAAGGTGGTGGTCAGGCAGAACTCATCCTCACCTCAGGCACTCTGCGGAGCTTGCGTGAAACAAAAGCTGCAGAAAACTGATTTTGCACGTGTATCCAAGATGCGCTTTGGGCCAGCGTAATGCACACCCACAACGCCAACAACAAAGCGCTCCCCCAGCTTGAACAACTGTGTGGCAAGCCTTGGTGGTGTTCAAGACGCTTTCTGAACAGCAGGAAAAATGACACAGTAGCAAATATTGAAATCAGTAACATATCATGAACGCATGGGAGGATGGTCTTGTTCTGGTCACACTTGTCAATTGACAAGTACCTGACAGCAAGGGTCAGATGGTCAGTGGCAATGTCGCGCATCAAAATCATTCACTGCTGACATTCACACGCCCTCAAACAGAGGTCACCAATCTTCTCCAGTTCGCCGGCACATCTCTTGACACCTTGCAATTGCCAGCCGCTGCGCTGCCTGGAAGGTGTAGTGTCTTCCTGGAACCAATCACGAATACCTATGCAATTCAAGTCAGTCAGTCACAGTCAGGCAGTGAATCACAGTCCTAATCGCTTCTTCACAGCGGTGAGAATCTGGAGTTCACTTCTCGGGGTCTTGTCCAACATGTTCTTCAGAAAGGTGCAGGCCGAGCAAGCGGTGAACATGGACTCCTTTGTTCAGCACAAATGAGAAGTCACATGGCTTATGCCTTCCGACAATCAACTTTACGGCTTCAATCGAGAATCTGATTTGGCAATGCGAACCCAAGGCAGCTCGTTGGTCCAAGCTTTGCGAAAGGTCGATAAATCCGCAGGCTTTCCATCCAAATGCCCCAAATTTTGCTCACTCCTAGGTGTGACATGGTGTGACAATTTGTATGAACATGTCACGCATCACCCTTTGGTTTCACATACTTGGATTTGCTACTGACGTTTTTTCTCAATATAGCCTAAGGTTCCTCTCAAAGTCATACTGCGAATGGTAGAAAAACTTCCTGCCCGCTGGAAGATAGATCTGGAGGCTCATCGGTGAACGCTCCCCGTGCGTTTCAGCATATGTTTCGATCCACTGTCTGCTGTCCAGGTAGCGGTGGGCCTTTGCTTGATTGCGGATTGCCGTCCAGGCAAGGGCGTCACTACGCCAAATGCTCACCACTCCTTTCTCGATCTTGTTACGAATGTTCTGCAAGGTTCCACTGGATATCCCTGTAAGCTTTTGAAACGCCCTGCTGCAAATCCTCACTCCAGCAAACTTGAAGGTCCCAGGGTTGTCCTTGACTAAGTCTAACAGCATCTGCATTCGCCTGTCCCTGGGGAGGCTGCTCCAAAGAAAGCGCCAGTTCCTGAGTTTGGTCCAAATCACAGCTCAGCTTCGATAATGTTAAACCTGGGCGTCTTTCGGCGCTTTAACCGGGCCACTTCACGATTGCAGGGTTATCCACGAAGGTGCTCAAACATTCATGGTGTTCACGGCCAATAGCGCACTCACCTGCAATGTCTTTTTCCTTGGTTGCACGAGTCGATTGTTCATGTGTGGCAAGCGCTTTGAATCTGATTACTGACTCTGATTCGCAAGCGGTTTTCTTGACTTGACGCTGAAT